CGCACATTTAGCTCAGCTTCACACGGTTTTAACGTGCGTCTACCTTGTAGAATATACCTTGGTGTTCATGTGGCCCCGCGTCGCCCCCGCAACCGCTCGCCCCACGCAACTCCACGTCTTTGCGGCCACCCTCGAGCTCAGCCTCGCGAGTTGGCGTGGCGCTCACCCCAGCGCTTGCCCACCCCTCGTGAACTCGCGGGAGGTGACTGCGATCCTATGGGGGAGGTGCCCGACAACAGGAACTAAAAGAAGGTAGCCCTGCGGGGAGATGGCGTGGCGTAGCCGTAGCGCCGTCCCCAAACAAAGCAGAAGGAGCAGAACGCAGACGACCGTACTGTGTTCTGCCGCGAGTGGTTGTGTGATCGTGATCATCCGCTCCCGATGAACCAAGTTTAGTAGATTTTTTTTTTTAAATAGGTCTTTTTGGAGAGGTTATTTTGGAGAAGTATTCTTGTGTCAAAAAGTAGTTCTGTAAACTTTGGCTCCGGAAAATAGTGTTCTTCAAAACAGTCCCGGTGCCGTGGTCTAGGTAAGTGTACGAACATATTGCATTGGTACAATTTTAACTCGATGATAATGACTCGACTGTCGTAATGGTGATTCATAGACCCGTTCTAAACTGAATGAACTCGAACGACACGCAACCTAACCTCTGCTAGACTGTCGCACTTTCTGCTTTGTCTAGCTACGCCACGCCACCTTCTCAGGGCAACCCTCTTCTTGTTCCTCTCATTGGGCACCTTCCTCATTGCGTGTCTTCACGGACTCTCGGGATTATGATCACGATCTGTGGGTCCTCGTGTACTCGCAAAGACATGAGGTAGCGTGGGCGGCGGTCACGGGTGACCACGGCGGGATGTACTTCCATCCCTCATACCCCTTCCCTACCTTGATGCCCCCTCCCCCGCTCCCTCCTCACTTCCACAGCGACTCTACTCTGTCGCCATCAACCCTTGCCGCCACTCCACCCCTGAAGCGCCTGCGAGACAGCGCGTAGGCAACCCAAACATCTCGGCATGTCATGACCTAAACATCCGGCACCTCAAACGGTGTTGATAATTGGGATGTATTTGAATACTTCAACTGTTTCGTGCAAAAACTATAGTAGGAAGTTTTTTTTTGGGGGGGGGGGGGCACATTTCCAAACCACCATCGAATTTGGCTACTTATTCTTGGCCGGACTCGTTAGACCTCAGACCCACCTGCGCCAGCCCCTGCAGGGCCCGCATGAGCAGCAGCAGCGTCCAGTGGCCCTTGGCGGCCCAGGGCAGCAGCAGGCTGATGATGCCGTTGGCGCCCAGGGCCGCGCCGTACACGCGCTTCGTGCCGTGCAGCTCCGCCACGCGCCCGCCCGGCACCTGCGCACGACAACGATTGCTACTCACTGCTGCACCGGGTTACGGTTACACCTTACTGCAGAGCCAAGTGTACGAATGTCGCACACCAGCGTTTGTTTGTGAATATCTCCACTCACCTGTTGTTATTGAGCGACATTCGCGTACTTTTCTGTTTCCCGCGTATACACGTTACACTTGGGACCGTTCAGAAACCACGTGGACAATCGGGGAGGGGGTGGGGGGTAAATATTATGGTGTCTCGAAAGGATCAGCAGGACGGTCATCATTGGAGTCCAAGGAGACTCCATGATATTTTTACCCTGGGGTACAAGTATATCATGGGGGTCTCCTTGGACTGCGATGACGTAATATTCGCCCCCCCCCCGATTGTCCACGCCTCTAGTTTTTTTTTCTGACGCCCTTTTATTGCTGTAGGTCGCACGAGGTCGTCTCCGCAGCGGGACGCTCACCTGGAATACGACGTAGCCCCAGAAGAAGGCGCTGAGGATGACGCTCTGCTGCAGCTCCCCCCACTCGAACTCGCCCTGCGGCTCGAGCTGCAACAACGACAAGTAGGTGTTGGTGGTGGTGCTGGTGGTGGTGGGCGAGCTGGTTGCTGGTGGGGCTGCTGGAGGCCGCGGCCCGTTTGCGCATACCCTGGTCACGGTCTCGTTGGAGCTGGTGACGGCGGGCCGCGGCTGGCCGCCGCACATGGCCGCGCCGCCGCCGGGCTCCTCGGCGCGCGCCGGCTCCTTGACCATGGCCACGATGGCGATGGTGAGGTTGGCGCGCAGCAGGAACGTGACCATGAAGCCCAGGAAGAGCATGAGGCACAGCACGTAGCGCGCCGGCACGCCGTCTGGGGCAAGAGACCATTTTGAAATAAAGTTTGCGGACGAAGCGATTAAGACAAGTAGCTGCTTAGAGTTGTCGCGCAAAGTTTTATTCTCTAAAAATCATTTTAAAATTCAATGAAATGGGGAGCCCAGTGAGAGCAGTACTCACCACACGCCATGGCGGCGGTACGGCCCGGGCAGGGCGGCGCTGGGCTGGCTGGCCCCGGGGACGCCGCCGAGGAGGCCTGGGCCGCGGCCTCTGGGCCCCTCGGCCTCGGCTACTGCGGCGGTCCTGAGGGAAGCCGACCAGGGGGTCAAGCCTGTGTTAAGTGTTAAGGCGAAACCCGGGCGAAACGATCATTTCGATTCAGTACTGTTGTACTGCGACTTCCGCCTCCCACACTTTCGTTTACTCTCAAAGCCGTGTTGCTGACATCTTTGTCCGCGGAGGTGTCCACATACATAGTGTCTAATGACCTAATGGTGTCCTCTGACCTCCATAGTGTAGTGGTCAGCGGAGACCAACTCATGGGACCCCATGACCCCGAGCGGAGAGAACGCGGCGATTCAGTCCCCTCCCACTCCCTCTATCTGTCTCCGTATGTCTCCGTATCTGTCTTTCTCTCTCTCTCACGCACACAAACACACACAAACACACACACAACATGGCCAGAGTCCGCGAGTCCGCTAGCAGGAAGGAATGCCTCAGGAGGGAGAGAGACAAGATGCCATTCTTGGAGCTCAGTTATTGGATGGTGCTCGGACGGTACTTTGTTCGGCAGTTTCCTGTTACAATTATCTTCCTGAACCTTACCCCTATTTACTTTACATATCATTAATTGGAATTTGAGCGCCAGCGATGTGCTCTTGGTCAATCTATCTCGCACTCTGGTCTGTTCCCTCCCTCCAAGAACTTCCCACTGTCAATTCAGAGTCAAATGTAAAATGGGCAATCTAATTTGACCTGCAGACCCAGACAGACAGCTTTCAGCCAGCCTTCGGTCCCTGCAGGCTGTGGGAGAGTCAACAGAAAAAGGAAATCTACATGACTTTAATGACTTGTTCAAAATGTACAGCTCTTTAGAATTATTGTCCGATACAATCACATTTTACGCCTTTATTTTTTACCAATTACTTTGGAAATTCACTAATAAAAATCTTTTCTGGAAATTGAGATCTAACGTTGAAACTGCATGAACTCTAGTTTTGAATATCGAGTGCATTACCATCGCCTAGTAATTGTCGAGAGAGCATCGATTTACATCGGTCGTCAACGTCATGTTCCTAGTGTAACGGCCCATAGAAAGTACGTGAAGTATTGCACAACACAAGAAGTACTCCGTATTTTCGATGTGTTCGGCGCGCCCTGCGGCGCCTGCGGGGCGGCGAGAGCCTGTATGCGTGCTCATGTCCCTAGCCGAGGCCCACACCGGGACTGTGGCCCTGCCCCTGCGTGCCTCTGGTGGTCCTTGGCACGCGCCGGGCCATGCCATGTGGGCTGCCCACCCCCGCCGCCCGGGAGGTGGTGAGCAGGTGCCATCATATGGCTCCTCAGCTCCTTGCGAGCAGGCGACCCGCAACCACCGGCGCGTCGGCGCGCGCACCACAGTGTGCTCCCGCACCACCTTCAGGGCTGTCACTGTGCCTACCTAGCCGGGGATCGCCCGGGCTGGACGACGTTCCGTCCCTTCCCTCCCGCTCCCCCCTCACCTTTAAAACAATAAGGGGAGGGACGGGTGGCAGAGGGAGAACAGATCGTCGGTTAGCCGGGGCTCCGGCTGGCTAACCAGGCTCCGTGATAGCCCTGCATAGCCGGGGGAGCGTTGTGCAACGGTGGCTGCTGCTGAGCATGGTTCACCCTATCGTCGCGGCGTTTACATTATCGA